TTTAGGACCCTGTGCAGACGGTATAATCCGGAAGTGACTAGAAAAGGGCTAAGGGGAAAAAACGGTCAGGAACGGAAGGGATGGCGAACAGGGGGAGGTTCCGACAGTGATCAAGGGGGCAAACAAATCCAAAAACAGTCCAATATAGGAAATCCGGGGCACAGTCCAAAATCCCAAACCAGGTGATCCAAACAAAGACAAGACGATTAAAAACAGGAACAGGGACAAGGAACTAGGAAATGGAGGTACTGTACGAGGCCAGGCGCTCTGAGCCCCGGACTCAGCTTGGTCAGGAAGCCATTAGGAAGACTGTGCCTTCAAGCCGTAGGGTGACCTGATGCTAGGCGGGCTTCCGGGTGTCCATCTTCAAATGCAGAGCCCTGAGCTTCCAGAGCACTGGGTTTAAATACAGTCAATCCAGGGACAGGTGTACGTGATAGTGAACCTAACACAAAAGGGTCAGAGTGCCCTCTAGAGGAGGGATGACGATCATGACAAACGTCCTGTGGGTGCTGTCAGATACAGGGTCCTTCCCACCCACTTCCATTCAGCAGAAAATGATCATAAATCAAGAGCTGTTGAGCCAGAAACAGAGGAACACATTTTTAAGTTGAGGAGAGGCTGCATAAAGCTCTGTGTGGTGAAGCTGCCGGAAATAAGGCACTTTAACTGGGGTATTTCTGAAACCAAGTACTGAGTGCAGAAAAAAGTCGAAACCAGCAAGCACATCAGATACAGACACCAGTTAACACTGGTGATTAAGGGGTCAAATGCAACACAAACCCAGAGACACAGGGCTCCTCCGGGACCAGGTCTGAGAAAAAATGCCACAGTTTTATAGCCCATAGCATTGTTTCATTTAGGTAGAAACAAATTTGGTAGAATTTCATATTCCAAACGCGCTTCTAGGAAAATTAAGTCTCCATTTGCAGGTAAAGGTCATTGCTCTTAAGATAACAACTGTAACCTCTAACACGAATTGGTCTGCAAACTTAAAAAAAATGGAAAATGACTTGTGTATCGCGCTCTGAGAGATGTGAGCATGAATCTCCAGCATCTTGGCATCAGGTGTTACTTCCAGATGCGAAACCTGTTGTGTAATGTGTGTAACATTTTACAGAGAAGGGTGGAGATTTTTGTCATCACCCTTATTGAACGGTTTGTCTACAGGTGTATTGTTTCAGGAATACTGTGAATTTGAAGGGATTTGAGGAAATGCAGCTTCCAGAGCAGGGAATTCCATGGCAACTATGCAGTGCAGAAAGGCCAACACAGTGTAATTCCAACATACTATATGAAATGTGACTCTGGGAGGGTTTTGGAGTCTGAGAGGGGCAGAATGGCAGAATGTGGGTCTAAGATTCAGTGGAAGGTGTCCACTGCTGCATTCAAGTTATAGGCAAGCAGGCCTTTCCTGGACTCTGGACTTACCACCCCCTGCCAGAAGACCAGGCCGTCTGTGGAGGTGCTGCGCATCTCCAGCTCTATGGTCTCGGGGGCCTCAGGTGAGCTGAAACAGGAAAGGAAGGCTGTTTTTACAGACTTGAATTGTAGCGTAAATGCAAAGCAGTGTCATTTGAAGAAAAGCCATTCCTAGATCATACACCGTGAAACAAACAATTTAAAATGAACCTTATTATAACTGCCGGCAGCGTGACGTTTTCTGAATCCACTTTTTAAAAATAGCCGGCAAAGAACAGACGGCAGAGAAGACAGTTTTATCCAAAACAAAATGAAAGAGAGCGAGCGAAGATGGAAAATGATCAGAGAAGAAGCGAAAACGACCCAGGGAGTTTCTAGAGCTCAGATGAGCTCAGCATCCGTTGAAAATATCCGTTTTGGCTTGAGTTAAAATTGCTTCCACATAACATTTAACTAAGGCCTTCTAATGGTATTCCTAGCTCTCAACACCTGAACCGCACATTTTGAACAGCTTGGATATAGCCATCAATAAATCCCATGGTTTAAAGGGGATCAAGTCTTCATCTTCATGTAGGCAAATTCATGTGTTTTTGTTGACATTTTCTGAAGGAGAT